AAAAGTTTGACTCAAGAAAACCACCATTTTAAAGTTCAAATCTGGAAAAATAAATACAGTAAATGGACAAAAGTACAGATTCACAAAATGTTTAGGGGTATGTGTACCCCTCCGTACCCTCTGAAAAAAGCACTACTTAAGGTACGTATGTAAGAGGCTCGTTTATAATTATAGTGGTACCTCGGGTCACAAACTTAATTTGTTCTGGAGGACCATTCTTAACCTGAAACTGTTCTTAACTAGAGGCGTGCTTTCGCTAATGGGGCCTCCCGCTGCCGCCAGCTCACAATTTCCGTTCTCATTCTGGGGCAAAGTTCTCAACCCGAGGTACTACTTCCGGGGTAGTAGAGTTTGTAACCACTGTATATTTTGGAAATGATTCATGTTCTTATGTAGCTGCATTGTTTTATACTTTATGGATGCCCATGATCATATTATAAAGTAGTTATGTTCTATGTTATAAATGAAGCAAAGCTAGGAGTTGCTTCTTTTTGTTTCCCAATGTATTTCTTATCAATAAAAATTTTTGTGTGGCACAAGCAAATTTTTATTCTGAAAGTGTAGCCCAGAGAAGAGTTTGTGAACCACTGCTTTAACATATTCATTGCAGTTTAATACAGTGACCAGCCATAAAAAAATTAAGTCCAATGACGGGGAAACCTGCCAGGGATGAGTTGGAGTCCAACATCATCTAGAGTGCTACAGGTTTCCAACCCCGGTATTAGTCAAAATGTATGATACAAATCCAGAAAATAATTAAACAGCAATAAATAAATGGCAAGGCTGAATATATATTGAAGGCTGAATATATATTGAAAAACCTATCACCCGCTGGTTCTATATCCATAATACCAAGCAAGGGCAGGAATCCAATTTTGGCCACAAATATGCATTACTGAGTGCAAAACCACAAAACACATTAACTGCAAGTACAAAATGGCCATTTACATTTTAAGAATTAGATTAATTCTTCAGTATACCCATTTATATGCACATATGTGCCCCAACTGTGGCAACAGTAAGAGATGTATTCTAAATAGATAGAAATCAGTGTAATGTGGAAAAAAGGCTCAATAAACAGAGCCACCAATCCAAATAAGTTGATTATAATAGGGGATTTGCAATTTCTCATACTTTTACTCATTTTAAATTTATTTAAAATGTTTAAGTGCAATTCGACAGTGAAAACTAAGAGATGATCGATAACAATTTGTATTAAGTCATCTTGCGTGTATCTTCAATGCACACAGTAAATTACTTGAAACTTCTTTCAAAGATATAGAATGTTTTCGTAGTATTAAAAATGTGGTTCTGCAGCATTTATGGAAAACTGTAACAAACCTAGCTCCTGCCTTCAAAGCTTCATTTTTAAAAAGAAATCATGGAAAAAAGATGGCTCCATCATGCTGCTACACCTAGTACCACATGCCCCAGAGATGTACTGGAAACTCTGGAATCAATTACCAGCCCAAACATCATGATGTTTAGGAACTGAGTGAAGACTTTTTAAGAAGGCTTTCCCTGAGGTGTGACCCAGTGAGGACTGGGCGATATCAGGTTTTCAACATGGCAATATATCATCAGCTGAACATCACAATATATCACAATGTCTGAAATGAGGATGGAATTATGTAGAGGGAAAAGCCTGATCATTTATGGAATATTGATTGTACATCTGTAGAAATGCTTTATAGTTTTTAGAGTTTGTAGGAATGATTATATTGCTTTAGAGTTTGAATAAATGACTTTATTGTCTTTTAAGAAAAGTACTTTTAATATTTTACATTTTTATATTCTTGTGCACTGCTTCAATTGTTTCCGGCTGTAATGGTAATGGGTACAGAAAGTCCTCAATGTTCTCTTTCCTGGCCAATAGAAGTACAGTTTGAGCAAATGCCAAAGGTATGATCTTGAATGATTGCTACCTGTACCTCTTGACTCCAGTGAATAAAAGAAGCTGTTGGGATAAATGGTATTACATTTTCTCTCCCTTACATGTACAGGAAAATGCAAAACGTCCCACAGCAGCTTAGTGCATAGGTAAAACACATGCCATGTGAGATCATGTGTCTCTATGCTCCCACTTGTGTGAAAATACCCGCCTTCTACTCTTTTTGGAATTTATCAAGACACATTACTTTTACACTAATGTAACATACTAACCATAGGTAGCATTAATCAAAGATCACAAATAGCTTCGAACTCAAGCTTGAAAATGAACATGATTATTTAACATTACCATTTGTGCAAAAATAAAGCTGCTGCATTGTAGCAAGCTATGAAAAGGAAAGGGTGGGAGGAGAGAAAGGTGTGTTTGAGGCCCATGGGTACGCTTCTGGTCCTCTATTCAAGGTTAGGAGGTCTGAAATAAATATGTGAAGGGGGGGGCTTAGAAAAGTAGTGGTGGTGGGATTATAATAGGTCTCCCCAACTTTCCCAATTTCTTCCAGACCTTCACATCTCAACTAGGCCAGAACCGCAAACCAATTACACAAAGAAGGATTTTTCTTACTGACATGAGGGCTGAAAAGGAAGCAGACGAAAGGCATACAAGAAGTTTAAAATACAGAGGAATATATCAACAGGTGAGCTGCACGTTAATGAAGGAGCTCACAATGGCAAGTCAAATTATGGTGGAGTGACATCTTCAGAGAGTGCCTCTAACTAGCTCATATATGGTTTCAAGAGTGGATCAGCACTCATTCTGAGTAACGCAAAACAAACAAAATCAAACTAGTATGAAGATGTGACAAGTAACTTGGTTCATTAAACTGATGCAGGTGCAATACTTCTAATACCTTAACCAAACCATACAGAATCAGGGTTGGGCCACAGGATTTTGCACTGCCTTACTGCCCTTCACAGGTGAATTCATGTTTCTATATTACCACACTTACAACTACATGAAACATGACAAATTCTTATACAGGAACAATATCTATGTAGTAAAGAATATGCAAAATGCATGTATGTGAATACCTTTTCTGCTACGCACATACATACATGTAAGACTACCACATGTATATCAAAGTACATTCTCTAAAGGAATTTTATAATACTAAGTTCATCTTTCACAAGGAATGTGAAACCACAAGAAGTTTGAGCCAATACTAAACTTTTGTCAAAAGTACTGCATGTACTGAAAAATAATATTTCAAAGGATCACATATACTGCCTGATTAAGAATGTTTGTGTTCAATTTAATTCCACCTATGGCATTATGGATAAAAATTAAAACCATTTTGTTGGCCACATTCTTATTACTGTTATTTACTAATGAGGAATTAAAGGAAGCATGCTCTACCACACCAAAGACAAAAACCAGTCTGTCTGCAACATTTTATCCATCTTCTGTAATAGAAACAGTATGTATAAAAACCAAATCACTATACTGTATAACAAATAACTAAAACAGAGCCAGTGTGTAAGCACAGAATCCAATGGGCCAATGCTGATGTTAAAAGTAATCCTTATGTACAACGCAATATTCACAGCTTGATACTCTGCACGTTTACTAGAAGTCCCAATGGTCAACAGCTTTTGTTCCAACTAAACCTGCTTTAAGGCTGCAAATACAGACTGCAGGGGAAAGAAGTCCACCTTACACGGCAACACGGACGAGCATAATGGGAAGTACAAAATGCCGAGCAGCCTCCGGGGCGCGTAAGAAACAACAAACTTGCGGGCAACTTTCCGAGGAAAAGCGATGCCAGTGCGGCCGCGCCAGGGCCTCCTGGCTCCCCTTCGCAGCCCTGCGGAGCACAAAAGCCACGAGCGGGGCTCGGCCTCCTCCTCCTCCTGCTGCCCAACGGGCGCCAACCCAGGCCCGAGGCACGTTGGGTGCGGCAGGAGAACCGACGCGGCTGTGGTCTGGCCGGGTCAAGCCGGAAAAGACCAAGGCGGCGGCGGAGTGGGGGGGGGGAGAGATCGGTGAGTCGGGGGTATGAGGGTGAGGAGGCTCCTCTTTCGCCTGGGCCGAGCCTGGAGCGGACTACCTGAGAGGCCTTACCTGAAGTCCTTGTCGCTCGACGTCATTTTCTCCAGCAAGTTGGAGATGTGGTACGAGGCACTCGCCATGTTGATGGTCCCGGTGGGGGCCGCGTCTCGGCGGCTCCACGTCGCCCAGTGCTGTGTGTGGCGGCGGCGGCGGCGAAGGGTGGGACGGGGCGGGCCCTTGTCTGGCGAGAGCGCGGCGGCGGAGGAGGCGGCGGCGGCGACGGTTCCGCGCGACGCTCTTCCCCGAGGCGGGGGTGGAACACGGCGAGGCGAGGCGGGCGGGGGGCGGGGAGGATTAGCGCGCGCGCCGCACGGAGGTCAGAACCATCGCCAGCGCCTGGCCCTCGCGCGCGGGAACAGCCAAAGGGAGGGCCGGGAGGAAGAGGGGGTGAGGAGGGAGGAGGAGGAGGAGGAGGGAGGAAGAACGAGAGCGACCTCTCTCTTCTCTCGGGCGAATGGAGGAGGAGGAGGAGGGCCCGACACCCGGCCGTCTGTTTGCCTCGCGCTCGAGGCCTAAGGTCAAAGTTCAAGGAGGCCCTCGCGCGAAAGGCGGGGGGACGGGACTGCGCGCTCAACGTCGCTACTTCGCAGGCCCCGATTGGCTCCCCGAGGCAGCCGTGGGCGGGGCTGCCCTGCGTGACGCACGCACGCAGCGTCGGGCGAGCGAGCGAGTGCGCGCGCGGGGACGGTTAGTTGAGGAAGAGGGAAGGAAGGAAGCCTCGTTCGAAGGGTGAGAACCTCCTCCCCCTCCTCCCACAATGCAATGCTTTCTGGGCTTAGAATAGGACTCGGCAGCGAGCAGACGAAGCAGCGTGTAATATTGGTACGTGTAGGGTAGCCCTGCGCGCGGAGAGATACACGCCAGGTTTCGGGGTTTTGTCGTCCCCCCCCCCACTCGTGGAGTCCAGAGGGGCGTTAGGAAGGTCTACCCGTGAGCGCGTTCACCGCCACGCGGTTGGGTGAAATAGTACAAAGGATGCGTGTCGCTCAGCTGGTCTCTCTCACGTGCAGGTCCTTCTGCAACTTCTGGGGCCGCTTTCGATGGCGGCAGCCGCTCTTAAAGTACGAAAAGTTGCACGTGGCAAGAGCTGCGATCCTCTGCCCGTTTATCTCAGAAGGAGGCCAGTCCTTGAGCTCAGGGAATGCTTCTCAGTAAAAATGTGTGTAAGGCTGCAGGTTTCTTTTGTTCAGGCTTCGGTTGTCCATTAAGTGTGCTGCATGGTGGTTTACTGTGATTCTCTTTACTATCTTCTATCTGCAAATTGCTGTCGTCCCCTCCCCCAAGGTGTCCGTTCCTCATGAAGCCAGTACATCCTGTAACAGGCTTCTGGATTCTAAGCTTAGAATAGAATAGCTTGCAGAATCTTAACTGATCCCACTAAGGTTACGGTCCTAAACACACTTATAGAAGAATAAACTTACTTGACGTTGCTGCAGCATGCTTCTGAGTAAGCATGCTTTTGCATGAGATTGGGGTATTGGGCTTCTTCAAGTCTTAAAACACAAAGACTTGGAAATAAGCAATCCATGGTGCCTGCCTCCATTTAGGAGTCTTGAGTAATTGCAGCCCTAAGCACACCTGCCTTTGTGAACCCTTGGCTCTTAGCTCTTGGAGTTGTATTTTCACTACATATATGGGTTTAAAAGTAAGGGTAAAATGAGTGAAAAAGTGTGCTGGGCTAGATAGGGCTTTGGTCTGATCCAGGAGGCCTCTACTTAGGTCTTTTCAAAAGCAATTTGCTAATTTTGTTTTAAATTTGATTAGCACTCTCATAGACAGCAGGGTTTCAAGTAGTTGCTCTCATAACTTTAGTAAACAGATAGTCATAAAGTTTGAATGTGTGGTGGTGTACAAAGGAGGAGGATTTACCCTCTGTTTTGCTTGTAGTCATAAGTCCAAAGATGTTCACTTAGAGCCTCTTTCCTGCAGTGAACTGTGCAGAAGTTTCTGGACTACAGTTCCCATTAACCCCAGCTTTCAAGTGCAAGGAACAGGGGTAATACCTGTTGTAGCCCAACAACATCTGAAAAGCACCATGTTGGCTACGCCTGGAGAGGTTCAGCTTGACTGGTGACAGCCTCTAAGGATTCTTTATGGGGGATTTCCTGAAGAAAGGGACTTTGTAAATAGGGAAAGTTCCTCCTGGTCTGTTCCTTAGACCTCAAGAACACCAACCTAGCTTCATGGCACAGTCAAGAGTGGTTGAAACAGCAATCACTGCACCATTGTTTTACAACCATTTGCTTTCAGTGAAAGTGTTAAGCACACACATAATATTGCAGTCTTTAGCACGTTTACTAGGAAGTAAGTCCTACTGAAAATAGTGCATTGTTTCCAAGTAGACTTACATAGTATTGCACTGCATATCTTTCAAGTGAATTCAACAATACCTAAAAATGCTTTAAATTGGACTGAATAGTGCCCGTTATATATCCCAGTGTGTGAAAGAGGGCCTTCTTGGTAGTGGCGCCCGCCCTGTGGAACACCCTCCCATCAGATGCCAAGGAAATAAACAATTGTCTGACTTTTAGAAGACATCTGAAGGCAGCCTTGTTTAGGGAAGTTTTTAATGTTTGATGTTCTATTGTACTTTTAATTCTGTTGGGAGCCGCCCAGAGTGGCTGGGGAAACCCAGCCAGATGGGCGGGGTAGAAAAATAGTATTATTATTATTATTATTATTATTATTATTACTACTATTATCATTATCATTATTATTATGTTAACTGGGGTCCATTCTTGCTCATACCTAAATACTGGTTTCTGTAGGCTTAAAAGACTTTCATCTGCATTATGCAGCCTCCAGCACAATTAATTATTGTGAAAACACTTGCCAGGTTTGCATTGGTACAAGCAATATACTGATGTCCTACTATGAGGTTTCATAAGGCACTCTCCTAATAACCTGAAATAAGATGTATGTGTATTTGTCCTGGCAAATAGCAAAAGGACAGGGATGAAGAAACAGGGATTGGAATGGAGCCCAGGAAGATGGTCTGAACAAAGTCACACCAAAAGAAAGTGGGTGATGTACTCATAAAGTTGGCTAAAACATTTCTCCCTAGGTCTGCTTAGGAGCCGTGTGAAGGAACCGCTGTTGCAACACCGGAAGCTGGGCAAGATGTCGGGAGTGTTGAGCACGACGCTGAGCAGCCTCAACAGCGACTCGTACTGCGAGTTCAGCATGTATCGGGACCAGCACTTCCAGGGAAGTCGTTACCTGCAAGAAAAGTCCCTGAAAAACTCCTGCACACTTTATGTGGGCAACCTCTCTTTCTACACCACAGAGGAACAAATTCATGAGCTCTTCTCCAAGTGTGGGGATGTCAAGCGCATAGTCATGGGGCTAGACAAAGTGAAGAAAACCCCCTGCGGCTTCTGCTTTGTGGAATACTACACGAGAGCAGAAGCAGAGCATTCTATGCGGTTCATCAATGGAACCCGTCTGGACGACCGCATCATCCGAACAGACTGGGATGCTGGGTTTAAGGAAGGGCGGCAGTATGGCCGTGGGAAAACAGGTGGCCAGGTACGAGATGAGTACCGAACAGACTACGATGTGGGCAGAGGGGGCTTTGGCAAGATTATTCAGCAGCAGAAGACAAATCAGCAGTCAGTGATCTACTAACGGCTTTTTGGGAAGTGAGAGCTGGTAAAGATAATAAAAAATAATTAAAAAGGGGGGGGAGCTATGTGAAAATGCAGCGATCACATTGCTATGCGCAAGGAGGCTAGGAAAAGAGAAAGCTTCAAGAAACCATGCACACAAAGCAGAGAGTCTAGCACCATAACTCGGGAAAGAAAGAGGAACAACATCTTGCTAGTGACTTCAATAGTTCTTAACTTTCTGTCAATGCACTTGCTGTGGGTATTTCTCCTTCCCATGAAGATTAACTTTACAGGCATCCTGTTCATTTACTTTGAAGTAAACACAGTAAGATTTATTCCCACCTGCTAAGTAAATACTTTCACAACTCTAGTTCTCTTATTCCCTACAACTGCTGTGCAGAGCTGCTAGTGAAGTGGCTGATTCCATACCGTTGATGAACTCTATCCTTGCCTCAGATATTCCTTGTTGAATGTATGATACACTTTTCAGGGAAGATAAATCAACTTATTTGCCTAGCAAAAATTGCAGCTGGTCGTTAAAATAAAGGCCATTGTCTATAACAAAGAGGTTAATTGATTGCAACTGTTTCTGCTTTCCTATACATTTGGTTTCTGTTCCTGGGTGACAACTTTGTGACCATGGAAATGCAGAACTCTCTCATGATGTGTAATGGGGGAGTCTGTCGCCCCATAAAGATGGTGAGTCCCAGCAGCCCCAGACACTGTGCCTTCTGCTTGCTTTCTTTTTAGTGCGGAGGTTTTCGGTCTCTACTCTCTAATTCCCTGCTGTCTGTATTAATTTGCATAGACCAGCTGTAGTTTTGTATGACCTGTATTGATTTGTACACCATGGTTTCAGGATGCAAGCACAGCACATACCATATTTTAATACACTATTCCATCAGACTGCAGTCTCCTTAAACTGTTCAGTTTCAATGTGTTTTTAATAAGAACTTTGTATCTAAGCCTGTTTGCTTTTTCTCTCCCACTCCATCTCTTTTCCTTTTGTGCCTGGTCTTTTAGCATGTAAACCTTAGGGCAGGGACTGTGGGGGGGGGATATGGTGATGGGCATTTTTATACACCCCAAAACTGCTTGCTATGTCAGCCCTACATGAGACTTGCTGACTTATTTTGGTATATTATTTCAGTAAATATTATTCAAGATGGCAGCTGGTGGTATTTCAGTTATTCCATTGCAGGATTTTATTTTATTTTGTCCTACTACTGAAACTCGGATCTGTGATAGGCAACCACTTCCCCACTTCCTCAGGATGTTCCCCCCTCCCCTACTGTTCTGATTCAGATAGGGCTCTTTGTTAGCATGGATTGCCATGACTATATGTTGCCAGATATTTGACATCTGCAGAAGAACTTTATAAGGCTCGAACACATACCTGGAAGGAGGGGATGGCGGGCTAGATGATGGAACTGACCTAAAACAACTGGTATACCTTTATTTTGGCACTACATTATTTCCTGCAGGAACCACGTCTATTATTTGTCCACTACAGCAGGGTATTTAACGGGCACAATGGAAGCAGTGAGAGTCTAAGCTAAGGAATGGCCAACCTATGGGCTTCCGGTTGTTGTTGAACTTACAATTCCCATCAAACCTGATGGTTGGGGATGAGGGAGATGTAGTCCAACAACTTCTGGAGGGTCACAGCTTAGCCACCCTTCATCTAAGTAAAGTATAGATAGCAACTTCTACGTTAACTGTGATGCCTCCATTGGACTTGCTACCCTGCAAAGACATCACAGAGAGGGTGGGCAGATAATGATGAGGAATAGAAAGAGCTCAAAAAAATGGAAGAGTCTAAGCCCGGGAAAGGTCTTAGTGGATTGGTGGCTGAGAACCTGGGACTGCAAAAGGAGTCTGACCTGAGATAGGGTCCCAGCGGATTGGAAGTTGGAGCTCTGAAGTTCTGATTCCATAGGAAAGAACACCAGCCTCACCCTCTCCCAAAGCCATGCCCATTCCTTTGTTATATAACATTCCAGTGCCTGGATAAATATAGTTCTTGTCATTTTTTTTAAAATATATATTTGGCTCCTGGTGTGGGGGTTTCTGGCATCATTACCTATTTTGGCATCAGTTCAAATCCTGATCTAGAACTGAAAGGGTTTCATTCTTGACACTGGTTGCAGTTCCAGCCTACAAACCAAAGTGCAGAAATCCCTAAGCCAGTTTTTGATCTTTTCAGTATAAGCCTGAAGTTAATTAAGTTAAGCTTTAAGTAGTTTTGTGAATCATCAGTTCTACTGGCCTTTCCTAAAATTAGAATTCCAAGTTTGAAGCAAAAACTAAGGCCAATTTCATAATCTAATATTACTCCATTAATTTCAGTAGATTGATTTGGCCCATTTGGGGCTGAGTCCAGCATTTTTCTTGTAAGCAAAGAAAGGTTTTCATAGTTAAATTTGCACTGGTATAAATGGCTGAAATTAACTAACACAGTCCATCCATCATGCAGGCTCAGTTCTCCAGCATAGCCAGATTGTGCTAACACAGCACAAACTGAATAAAAGTAGATGGCCTTATGGTGGGCTTTTTCTCTCCTCCCTTGACATCTGAAGGCAGCCCTGTACCAGGAGGTTTTTAATGTTTGATGTTTTAATATGTGTTACATGTACTGTAAGCTGCCCAGAGTGGCTGGGTAAACCCAGCCAGATGGGCGGGGTATAAATAATAAAAGTATTATTATTATTATTATTATTATTATTATTATTATTATTATTATTATTATTATTACTGCTACTACTACTACCACTACAAAGTGGGAAGAAAGAGTCCTTACAGATATATAATATTGACAGAGCCTTTTTCATTAGGCAAGGGTTTGACATCTGGCACGTCTGTATTAAGGGAAATGTATGCCTAGCTCGCTAGGTAATTCAGAGTAAAATCTAATTACTTGGTATTCCAGAATTCTGGCTCATAGGATCAGCCGTAAGATTTCTACTGACGCAAAGGCTAGAGCCCAAGCCCAGTCCTTGAGTAGAACTCAAGTAAGCCACCCAGGTGCCAAAGGCAGGACAGAAGCCAAAGGCATCTGGCAGGCTTTTTATTGACTCCAGAGTGAAGTTAGGAACTACTATACTCCTGTATCGAAGAGAATATATGACAAGTGGGGCAGGGCAACATATTGTGGTGTCCTTCTTGCCATGGGCATAGCCAGGATTTTTGTTAGGGGGCCCCCAAAAAGTTGTTGAGCTCTTCTTCTTTTATTTCTTGCTATGAACGTGATTCTACTCTGGCTGCTGCAATGAGGGCAATTCTACCCAGTCCAGAAAAACTAGAATGAAGCATAAGAGATTTGGGTATCATATTCATTCACACACATACACATGCACACTTATCCCTCAGTGTAAATAAGCACATTCAGCAAAATTGAGGCTGTAGTCCTAAACAGATTTGGATGTTATGAGTAAGTAAAATAAATTGGTCTTAATCCTAACCAAGACTGCCATTTTATCTGCAGGTGAGCATGTATAAATCCAACCCAATATCTTATTCTGAATACGATTGTGGTGTTTAGGATTAGCGTGTCCGTATCTAGCAGATATTATCACAATATGTGGTTAAAATTATATGCTTATATTTGTTACCAATGTTAGCATGAAAATATGGTGAGGGTAACCGTAGTTTTAAACTGTATGTGCCTGGGTTCTTCTGCCTCATTAGTAGGATCCAGTAAAGTAAAGCATCCAGAGTTGAATTGCCAGTTTGCTTGTCCCACCCTGGAAAACATGGGTCCAAGTGGTTTTGCTTTTGCACCACTGATTTCTCCCAGAAAACCCAATTGACATTTGATTCAGCAGCAAACAGTGGTGTTTCCTTGGGGGAAAGTAGCAGGGCAAGTGGAAATGTGGTTGAGCCCTTAGACAGTCATCCTCCAAACATCTGCATAGAACAGATCTTCTAAGTCAAGCATTCTGCTGTGGTTTTTGTTCCCTGTGGACATTTCCTTGAAACAATATGCCTTTCAAGGCAGGGATTTTCTCAGCAATTCATTGCTCAGAATCCTGCTTCTCAAATAACATTGCTAAAGGAAGCAATAATGTAGAAGTGATCAAGCGATAAGCATGTTCAGTTAGCTGCTGTTTGCTAGAGTGTCATTGAGAGATCAGCTGCTTCATCCGGCCCTCCTCTCCTGCCAGCTCCTCAACCTTTGCCCATACTGCAGTGTTTCATTTTTATTTTTTTAGCCAGGCAGAGTGCTTGCAGGGCTAACCCAGCTCCCACTTCTGGCCTCCTAAAGCCTGCAGAAGCAATTGGAACAATCCTGGGGTGATTTTTCTACCAACGGTTGAAAAGCAGTGCAGAACTATTCCCCCAGGGTGGCGGGAGGGAGGGAAGGAAGCACTGCAGGGTTGTTCTTGCTGTCTTCAATATTTGAAACGACAATAGAAGAGAAAGCAAGCAAGACTCCTGGTTTGTGTGTTTGTTGCTTTACTATTTCCCTGAGCTGAAAATAGTACTGCAGTGCTACTTGAACTGAATCGGTTTGGCCCTCGAGGGCTGAGAGATGCCATTGTACTATTCAGCATATTTGTCGAAGTGAGACAGGGGTGCCCATTTCTCCTTTTTGCTTTCTATATTGCTACTGGGTTATATGAATCTATTACCTAGGTTTGAATCCATTACCTATGAATCTTTAATAGATAATATAGGGTCAAGGGATGAATTTGATTAACCTACAGTAAGTATTTCAAGACAGTCAGTGTGGGTGGTAGCTGTACAGAAATACCTTATATTTAGCACCTACAGGTAAGTGCTGTTTTAAAAAACTTCACAGGACTACAAGCTAAATGACATATAATAATAAAAAGACGGGGGAATAAAAAGTGTATATGTGGAGGAAGATTCATTTGATTAATTTCATCAACAAAGAAGGCTTGGAAAATATACAGGTTTTCAAACACTGATTTTTTAAAAGGAGAGTAGGGGCTATACGTCATGAATTGCACCAGTAACCTTGTGCAAGTCACCATCTCTTAGTCTAACACACCTCACAGTTTTCTTAAAAGCATAAAATGTTATAATCCCATCAATGTCATTTTCAGCTCCTTGGGTGCATGGGATGTGAATTCAATTTATAGAGAGTAGCAACAATTGAAATTGATAACCAACTTTAATTATCACTGGCAGTGGAAAATAAGATCAAAGTATTTAGTCAAGTATAAGAGAAAATGGGTAGGAATGAGCAAACATGACAATCCTAACCTTAATTGTGGAAAAAAAAATGCAAATTGATGTGGTGCTTGTGCTGATAAATAGTCTTTCACGTGATGGCACAGACAAGCTTTTGATACAGCAATTTATTTACTTTTGCCTCTCATAAACATGTTTGGAAGAAAGCTTCATTGATTTTAGTAAGACTTAAAATAATTCAAATCAGCATTCTAAGCCTAAATATGGCTAATTAATGTTATGGATCCAACCCAAATAACTTCATTTGAAATTATACGTAGAGGTAATTTAAAAAGTGGCAGTAACAAGATTACACACCGTCACTGTGCCCCTTCCTTATAACCACATGGTTACGGGAAGTGAAATGTAGTACGTTATTGTCCCTTGTAGCCTCAGTCTTTTAACTGGAGATTTAAATGCAACAAGCAGTACAGTAGTTAGAACATCACTGCTGGAGAAAAACTCATTTTATTAAGAATAGAAATGTTTTTGATAGCAGTAGGAGCTTATGATTTGTCAGGAGTACAAACGCAGAAATAGTTATCTTCAGTCCTTTCAAGCTAGGCCAGGTCAGAATGTTTTGCGGCCTGAGGCATAGCAGCAAATAATCTCTGCTCCCCCTCGCCCCCAATTCAGTCAAAGTGCATAGTACCCGTAAACATGCACAAAATTGGCCTATCAGCTGGTGGACCAGACAAAACCCACATTATTATGCCTCCTGCCTCCCTTTCCTATAAGACCAAATATATGAATCCTATAACCCCCAAAGGGACGCGAATGGCGCTGTGGGTAAAAGCCTCAGCGCCTAGGACTTGCCGATCGAAAGGTCGGTGGTTCGAATCCCCACGACGCGGTGCGCTCCCGCTGCTCGGTACCAGTGCCTGCCAACCTAGCAGTTCGAAGACACCCCCGGGTGCAAGTAGATAAATAGGGACCGCTTACTGGCGGGAAGGTAAACTGCGTTCCGTGTGCTGCGCTGGCTCGCCAGATGCAGCTTTGTCACGCTGGCCACGTGACCCGGAAGTGTCTGCGGACAGCGCTGGCCCCCGGCCTCTTGAGTGAGATGGGCGCACAACCCCAGAGTCTGTCAAGACCGGCCCGTACGGGCAGGGGTACCTTTACCTTTACCTATAACCCCCAAAACTGGAGGGTGCGACTGGCTGATCTGAATATAAGTCATACTACAGTATATCCTATGGGTTTGGGCACTCTTTTCCTTCTACAGCACGATCTGTTCCTGCTGTGGAGGCTCAGGAGGAGGGTATGGAGTTGCCGCCCCTCAGCATCTGTCACCTCATTTTGCCTAATGGTAGGGCCGGCCGGCCCTGCTTTTACACAGCATTTGCATTTTGAATGGACCTAAATATATACATCTCTCCCCCCACCCACCCATTATGGAACGTTAATTGTGACCTCATCAGCTTCACACATCTTCAGTGCCATGAGGTCACAATTAATGTTCCATAATGGGTGGGTGGGGGGAGAGATATATATATTTAGGTCCATTCAAAATGCAAATGCTGCGTAAAGCATAGAAGACCTGTTACAAATTAGGAGCCTATTTGTAAACGTATACATAGCATAAGGGTAGGGAGCAGATTGGGCCCTCCCAGCCTTGGGACCCTCCCCAGGCCAAAAACCCCTCCACAATCCCATTTCTGCAGGACATGTGCTGGCCCTGATTCAAACACCTGGAATGTTTTTACTTAGAGCCATAGTACTTCAACATGGAACCCATGGGCCACATGCTGTCTTGGCGCAAGGGAGGTGGGAGTGAGGCCAAAATTTGACGTCCAGCCCTCATGCTGCCTTTCCAAAGCTGGATAGATAAAGCTCAG